AAAACTCAGTAAATTTTGATATGAGGTGCTTCACTTTGTCTTGGTACTGTGATCTGCACATCACTAACCAAATCTTGGGTGGTTGCTAATCTATGGTGAACTTCTTCTTAGTTACCATAATCTATTCTACAAGGCAGGCAGGAGTCTTACTTTCATTCATTCATTAAACAAATGACAGCACTGTTCTCTGTGCTAGACATTCTAAATATTAAGGAGACAACTGAGATGAAAATGCGAGTATTTCTATAATCATACTGCTCATTTTAGTAAAGCTTTACTTAATAAATGAACCCAAAACATAAGATTATAAAACATTGTATGGGGAAAATTAAAGAACATTAAATTGATTAGTATTTATAGGTAAGATTTGGAATCCTCTAACCATAAAATATGATAAATGTACAAAGCAATGGAAAAGTCAACTACTTTGGCTTGATTATTACACAATGTATACACATATCAAAGCATCACAATATACTCCATAAAAGTGTGTAATTATTTTGTGTCAGTTAAAAGGAAGCAAGAAGCTAGCATGATTGGATTAAAAGCAACGAAGGACTACTGTAGACTACTCAGGGGAGGAGCCATTTGAAAGGGGAGTTAGCCAGAAAGGACTCCCTCACTCATAAGAAGGTCTGAGGAAAGAATGTTTCCCATACTTCCACTTTTCTTCTTTATTTAACTTCAAATGAAGTGGATTCTTCAACCAAATATTTCCCAGTTTACGAAAAATATTGTTATACTATTGTCTCTCTCACTACTCATAGTTTAGTTTTTAAATTTCATTTTGGTTCCTGGCTAATCCATTTTCCAAAACGAAACTGATATTCATAAGAGCCAGTAAGAAATCTTAGTATCTTTCATATTGAAATGATTTATGTGTTTGTAAATTAAGCTTGGTACACTTAGCAAAAGCTGGCTGGATGTTAATGACTGCAATGAGAATAAGACAGAATTGATTAAAATGTTGACTCATCAAGTCAGGGCTGCCATGTGTGCCACGTGAGGAGTGTCACTCACAGCCCTGCAACGTGACATCTCTGAGCACAAGCTGGCTTCCAGCATATACTTTCCAAAATCCGCATGACTACAAAATACTAAAGTTTAGACTCTCACTTTAATGACAAGGGGATATAGGGCCATTACATTTATTTTTCTTATCCAACAGTGTTGGGACTTTCTGATTCTTGTCAGAGAGATTTTTTTTTTAAATCTAGAAAAATAATCAATTTAAGATAAAACACTAAGCCACCTTCTTGTGGAAAATAAGAAAGTGGCAGTCAGTCCAGAGTGCCTTCGGGATAATGAGCTCTTCTGAAGTGCCAATTAGATCCTCCTGATATATCCTTACCTTTGCCAATCTCAGAATGTCATCTGTCTCCAAATAAACGTTTATTCAAGACAGAAAATCCAAGATCCTTGTGTAAAACTGAAGTTTGAAATTGTGCAATTATAATTAGACCCCACATATGGGATCATTTCACTCCTACGTTCCCATGCATGTCTTACGTTTTGGGACAGCTTTATTTCATTACTACCATATAAGTACACATTATGAAAATGTACACTTTCTCTCCACACAAATAAAGATATTAATAATATTCACATATCTTAATTATAGTTCTTTTGCTTACTTAGAAGAAAGTGTTCATCTCCTGCTATGATGATCAATTATTTATATTAGAATTTACTTTTTCTCATTTATCAAACTCTACATTACAAACTAACAAAATGAAGTATGAACAAGCAAGAAGCTTGGTCAGAAATATGAAAATATTGGTCTCATAAGGGCTTTCAATCATGAGTTCAGATTTCCGACTTCAGTTCTTCTCAGGCAAGGTATCTGCACATTCATAACACCTCCTTAACTTCATTTGCACATCTTTCGGTTGTTGTTTGTTGTAGAGCTGGATATGGCACACACTGTGCCACTGAACTATACCTCCAGCCTTCATGGCCATATTTACGAAAGTGCTAAGTCATACATATGAAACTGTTTCCTTAAATTCAGCTATTTTTCGAATGAAATCAATGGACTTTTCCCTGGATACAGATAAAGGAACACTAAAGACGGGTTAGGGGATGGAGAATTGATGGAGAGATCAGTGTGATTTTCAAGTCATATCTATAAAGACTCAGAGTACCAGCAAGATGCCCCAAAGGATGACGGCCTGGGGTGAGAGCACTAAAGAAGAATTTGGCCAGAAGTGAAGGAGACAATTGGAAGGATACCCAGTTCTGCTTCTGAGAGGACTTTGCTATTTTTTTCTGTATATGGGAATTCAAAGAGAACTGGTGGGTTTTTTTTTTTAGTTTTGATAATCACAAATCTCAAAGACAGCCTCCTTCCTTTTTACCAGTACATGTTTGTGGTTCATGGATATACTCATGGGGAATTGCAATGTGTACATTACAAATTTTTTAAAAAGAGAAATAAAACACAGTTTCAAATATGATAATAGGCAAACAATACTAGCACAAATCTTTCTATTCAATGAACTGACATAAAAAAGTAGTATAACAATCTTAATTATATTGTATTTTTTTCCACCTCCCTGCCTTCCTTTTTCCTTTCTCCACCCATTTCTCTTTCCTTTTAAAAAGTTTCTTCCTATGTCACAATTTCTATGTATGTTATTTACTCTCAGCTTCTCACACTGGGAAGCTAATATGATATTCACACATGTGAGTCTGTTTTATTTCACTTCTGAGTATGGTCTTGAGTGGCACCCATTTATCTATAAAAGTCTGCAGCTAATCCTTCCTTATGGCTGAGTAGTACTCCATTGTATAAAAAGCCTACATTGTTTTTAATCCATTCCTTATCTGATGGGCATTTGGATTGTTTCCAAGAGTTAGTTCTTTAAAAATTGTGCTGCCATAAACATGAGTCGTGTATATTTATATGGAATGATCTTTTTATTTTTTTTTTTCAGGAAGATACCCAGGAGGAGAATAGCTGGGTCAGACAGGACCCATAACCATAGTGTGTTGA